AGAGGGCGCCACTAAAGCATGTTCTGGATAGGCTGTATGAAGCGGACAGCCAGGGCGGCTCGCATTGCATTTGCTGCGCGATCAAACACTAACTTGGCATGACACTTTATTGGCCACAAACGACAGCAAACACGGGGCAAAGATCAGTTCAGAACGGGAGCCATTTCGCGCTGCAATACCGCCAGAAGGCCAAACCGAAAGCCAAAGCTGCTCGCCGAAGGCCCTGGGAACGCTCGGAACCGGTCGGATCCTCCAGACCGAAAGACCGCAGCGCCGCCGCGAGCATCCGGGACCTTTCTACGGTCGCTGCTCGTTAACGCCTGATTCCAGTATGCGCCGCCTTTTCCACCGCTTGGAGGCCGGTATGTCAACGGGCCATTTCTTGTTTCCGTACTTTATAAACTGCATTTCTTTATTTTCTGATCTAAAATAGTGAACAAAGACTACTTTTATAAATAACTGAAACGGTTCGCGCCACTCTTATTTTGTATTTCGAGAAAAAAGAAGCTTTTAGCGGCTCTGACCAGTAGTAAGCTCAGGACCTAAGACGTCACATATCGCGCGCTTTCGGAACCGCGGGTCGCCCCCGTAGGTGAAGGAGGTTTCCGCGTCGTCCCGTTCAAAATATGGCGCACTGATATTTAGTTACTCTCTCCGTGCTCGCTGGATTGCCCGAACCCCGAGTGCAAAGTTGTCATGAGGTCTTCTAAGCGCAGCAGTTCAAATGAGGTTCCGGGTGGTATGTATACGCAAATGATAATAAGTGTCAGTGCACGAATGCGTACTTTACACGCAACTATTTCCCCAGAACTGTCAATGTCGCAAGGAACTTCTGTTGGAGAATACTCATATCGTATACACAACATTACTCTAGAAGAGCGGAGTTGAGTTGAGGGGTAGAGCACGTATCCTGGCAGGCGGAATCGTTCGGACATAGGGCCTTCACATTTATCTGAAACCGGAAATTTGTATCGACTGACGAAACCCTTAAAATCACTGCGTTTTGGAATTAGGTGTCGTGCATTTTATTGTGATATAAGAGAAGTAGCGTATACCTCAGTTAGATGAGTCATGGGTTCTTCTTGAGAATCGGTTCTATGGCTATAGTAGTGTGCTTGACGGGTGATTTGGAACCGATCTTTGGATATTCTTTTAATATTTACTTTATGACTTTCATCATGAGGGGTAATAACATGTGAAGCATACCTTTTATTTTGCTTTCTTCGTTCGTTTGTGCCTATTTATTACGACGTGTGTCTCTAGTGCTAATATGGCAATGAAAATCCATCTGCGACGGAACGTCTGCTTCGGCAGGTGCAGGCGCCCTTGAGCTTTGTGGAAAAACGTGAGAACCTCCTTCTCCTGATTGGCGATCTACATGGGTTGTGTTGTTGCCTCTTGGGGTCCCTTGTAGAATATTTGAATAAATACGGCCTGCTTGTTTGCTGTTGTTATTGTTGTTGTTTTTATGTACCGTTGACGTAGTGTTACTTGGCTTGATGACAACCCAATTTTAAGATGGACCTTTCCGTGGAGTTGGTTTTCCATAAAAAAGTTCATTTTTCTTTGCAGCATGTCCTAAGGACATGCTGCTAAGAACAAGCTGCTTATGCGGGCTGTCTTCGTTAAAAGCCCGCATAAGTTGACAGATGGCGTGAACCACAGTTTGCACCTTGCGGTTCACGGGGTGCTGAACATTCTTTGTGGTGGTGGGGACCTGCACATATCTTGCAGCGACGAGAGCTAAGGAAGTTGCGAGCTAGGTGGCCATAGCATTGACAGTTGTAGCATTGAGTGGGTTCCTCGTAATGTTCTTGTACGGGGAAGCTGCTGAATTCCAGTCTGGTTTGTGCAGGTAGTTCTAAATCTTCTCAGATTTCAGGATAACTGTTGTCAGGAGTTGCTTTGTTACAGGGCCATCTTCCCGTCGAGTGTTCTTCGTTTTTTGTTGTGCGGAAACTACTCCTTCATCTTGCAAATATTCACCGAGTTGTTCATCAGTGTAATCAAGTGGCACACACCAGACTTTGCCCAGATTTTTTGAGTGTGACTATGGCACAGTAATACCAACTTTGATCCCTGCAAGGACATCCAGTTTTATCAAATTATTCGCTGCTTCAGCAGACGCCACAGTAACTGTTAACTATCCATTTTTGTCAATGCGCTGCGAAAGCACTTTCTTTGGGATGTTGTGACAATTTTTTGTGCTTATTTATTAGAGTTGGCCTTTCAGAAGGGCTGGGAGGGACCACTGAGTTTCAACAAAATTGGAATTCCATCCTTGCATGTGTTCTTGTAGATTACCAGAGTGAATTGTGCTTCCTCATCAGTGATAGACTGCTGATGTTGCATGGATTGAGCGAGAGGGTGCTTACACTCATCAGCGCGTCGTTCTGACGGTGGGACGTCATTTGCTTGTGAAAGACTTGAACCCGAGTCATGGGATGTTGCAGTTGGAGCAGCAACGAGCTGCGGGTCACGTAGGATTGTTGAGGAAGCATGTTCATGCGGTACAGGGCCAGTGGGGCTGATGAAAGATGTCATCGCCGCTGCAGCCGGTAGTAGTAGACTTATTAGTTGCCACTAATGAGTATAAATAATGAAAAACTTCCAGAGTGGTAGAGGAAGCAGGGCATTTTGATAGTACTTATTTCGCTCCCTGGACGAGCAACCATTTACTTAAGATATTTTCCCCCTCCCATTAGTTTCATATCTTGAAACGGACGGGTGTGGAAAAAGAAGAGGTTTATCTTCAGTAAATGGTTGATTTTCCTGCAGTTCTGAGCCTCTTTCTACAGATGATATAGGCACCTCAGCGACTCCGAGGAGCTTACGCGAAGCGGAGACGAAAATAAATAAAAATTTGCAGTTGATAGCTGAGCGACAGATGCAATTAGAATCGCGCCTGCTCATTTTATGACATCACGGCTCGACCAATCAATGACGTTCAGCGGCGGCAAGTAGCTGTACATTTTTCGTTTTTTTTTATGTTTAGTACTATCTTGAGAACATAATATTGTGATATTTAGGTTCTCCAAGAAAAACTACACTCTGAAAAAAAAGCCCGTGAGTCTGCTTTCCCGCACAACACTCGGAGAGCCAATCACCGCAACTTAGGGAGGCAGCTCAGAGAATGACAAAGCCGAAACCTATGTTCAGACCAAAAAACGCAGTCTGAGTTGTGGCATTAAGCAATGCAAGCGTGACGTTTCGAATTGCTCAATGTCACAACTCAGACTGCGTTTTTCGGTCTAAACATATGTTTCGGCATTGTCATTCGCTGAGCTGCCTCCGTAAGTTGCGGTGATTGGCTCTCCAAGTTTTGTGCGTGAAAGTAGACGCACAAACTTTTTTTAGAGTGATACGCCAAAAAGAAGCCTTAACTCTTTGTTTCTTTTTTTTTTACCGTTTTAGCTTTTTTTTTTAAATCGGCCACTGATCGCACTGCCACATCCCCGCCTTATGGTTTAAGAATAATTATTCAGGAACAGTGACATGCTACTATTGTGGAAGTAATTAGAAGCGCAGAATTTAGTCACATGTGTCAGATTTTGTGCCTTATAGTTCGTTCGGCCAACACATCAGTTTTTATAATACCTGACCTTGTTTCGCGGGAATTTCAAAGCCATCATAACAAGGGCTTTAGAGAAGAGGAAAATCAGCTTGCGATTTCGACTTTGCGCGTGCAATCGGCATGTGCTGCTTCGACTGATTTTGAAAGGCCTTTGCTATGAAGTCCTTTAACTTACCCGTGAAAGGGGGGTATGTTTCATTCTCGCTGAAAATTAGCTCTCGAAAACAAAAACATGCCCAATATTCTTTGTTTTGTAGTTCTTATGGCAAAAACAGCGCAGTCGAATCTGGAGTTGAATGCTATTCTTTTTGACTGTGATTAAAGTTTAAGGAGCTTTAAACATGCCATGGTTACCAAATTACAAATATAAAAAGCTGTATTTTCCTGCTTATTTTCATTAACTTTGTTTCCAATACTCTGAGACAGGCAACATATCGGGATAGCACTGAATATTGAAATAGCTTCCACAGTTTAATTACTATCAAATATTTTGCATATCATTTTGACTACTAACGGGAGCGCAAAAAGTAATGCGGAGAAAATACCTTTGAAGCCAACCTGAAAACGCAATTTCCGCACGCAGAATGAAAAATCACGTCGGCGGGATATGTTTCTTTTTTCTTTTTTTTTACTTATCTGGGTTTTCTAAATACGCCCGAATTTATTTTTCTCTTAGATGCCATAAGTTTAACATGACGCAGCCCACTCACTTTAGAAACGACGCAACTTACGAGCGTATACGCACGAAAATTATCTGTACAAGTAAAAGTGCCGAGCTGCAATCGTTGGCCAAATGATCGAGAAATAATTCACCCGTGAGTTCAGTGCTGCGCCTCGCACGCTTCCAGTGAATACGCGGTGCACGCGGTCAGTGTATGAGCGCACCTGGGACTTTTAAACCTTTGGGGAGAGCCCTTTTCAAAAGAAAATGCCCTTCATCGTGGTAGCTGCTGCACCAGTTATATTCCTATCCGCCGTTGTTAAGCACGCGTTTCAAGTAAGTACTGCCCAGCACAGCTGCGTCAGCGTGCAGCGAAGGCTCGGATTCAAACACTCCTTTCGTAGCCCGAACAAATGGCGTATTGCAAGCATCCCCTCGGTGTACTATATATCTTCGCTTCACTTTAAAGACCGACGACCATTTCGCACTTTCCACTTTTCTCTCGCTTTCTGCACTCCCCCCTTCTACCCCGTCCACCGTTGCCTGTCTCCTCCGCTCCCACGGTGAAGAGGATACTCTGGCTCGCAGAATCTCGAGTCTGGTAGTCGGCCTTTAAGATGAGCGCCGTGGTTACGTTGGTGACTGCTTGTTTCGCCCCGTCAAATTGTAGAGGCGGCTGTGGTCAAACTAAGAGTGAAAAAGGTGCCTACAAACGTGAAAAATCAAACAGCTAAAAAGAAAACCAAAAAAAAACCGGCAGCTTACTGTTGATAAACACACACCGCTCGAGCGTCTCGGGGTAGTTGGCGTCGTACTGACCCATCATCTCCCTCAGAAACTCGATTACTGAAAAAAAAAAAAAAAAGAACTCAAGATATTATCACGAATGGACAATGTAATGAACCAACAAAGTTGCCATGGGCATAAACCTGCAGCGCGACTGCGTATACCTTGGAAGCTGTACACCTGTTTCAAGCTGAAGTTTTCGTAGTCAACCACAACGGTCACGGTCTCCAGGTTCTTCCCCAACTGGAAAGCAAAACAAAGGGTTATCAAGTTGAGCGGCGACCTGGACCACCTAGGTTGCGCAGACATGTCCGGTGTTCCAGCGCTAATCAACTAAATAATTAACTAATATCTTCTAATTAACTTCTAAGTGGTGAAAATAAACATATGTTGTCAATGAGAAACTTGCTGAGCCTCGTCGCAAATCTCTAAATCAGTCGATTCTAGGAAAGTTTAAAGATGAAGCGCGAAAGTGCGCTAAAGTTACCACGCGTGAAGCACACGCAAACTTGCTGGCGATACGAAAACTCGAATGATAAGAATATTACCACCCTAGTCTTCGCGGAGGATAATAGTGTATGTTTATATTTGTCTATCTCTCTCTCTCTCTCTCTTTCTTTCTCTCTCTCTTTGACACCTTTGGAGTAAGGCCTCTTAAGTGCCACGCTACGTAGTTTCTCTCACCTTCTCGCTCTGGGTCTTCATGTCTAGAGCGACCTGTTCAAGTTGATAGTAGCACGCCTTGTGCAGCTCCTCCTTGGAAACACACTGCAGCATTCCTGAGTTTGGAAAACGAAACGGGCACCTCCTATCCAGCTATGCCAAGCAGCACAAACACGCAGACACGGCTCACAAAACACAAATTGACCGATGTAGTGTACACCAAAGTAAATGCCGTTTTAAATGGTTGCTTACCTTTACTTTGCTTAACCGCATATATTTTCCTTTTTTTAGCTCTTAAAACGTTTGCAATATGTTTCCAAATTTCCACCGATTCGAACGCTGGAAACAGCTGTGTTTTGATTGCATCTAAAAGTCGATAATAGATATTGTGCAAAAAAATGGTAAGGACGCCATCTTCAAATACCAAGAACGCCTTGATACAAACAACCTTACGTATCTTTTTATCCTCTCTTTTTTTATTTGAAGCAAAAACGCTTTTTGCATTGAAATATTATATATATTTCGTATATTTCGTGACCAGAAAACCATTTTTAAAAGAAATGTTATAGTTGTCCGGTAATGACGGTAAAACACATTGGTCCTTTAAAGCCCGTTCACACTCTTGGGACTCCTTAGAATCGAGCGCCTTGAAACCTCTTAAAATCGCTTATGACGGGAGAACACACTGACACGCTGGCGCCCCGCCATCTATGTGGTGACCCTCGAATTGCATTTCACAAGAGCGAACGTTTGGCGGGGTTTGCGAGGTCAAATATGCCTACTGCTTATGAGAAATGTTCGAGTATAACATTGACCAAATTGCTTCAAGCCAAGAAAGAAAGCATGATGCGCAAAAGAATTGTGAAATACACGGGACCGCCCAGTGTTTCACGGACCCACTGCTGCCCGATCATGTGGTGCTAGTGTGTCCTCTCGTCGTAAGAGCTTTCAAGAGGTTTCAAGGCAGTCGGTTCTAAGAAGTCGCAAGTGTGTGGACGGGCCTTTATACTTCAAATATGGTAAATTGGGGGACTTTTAATGCCACTTTTAGGATTCCCGCCTAATATTCGCTCACATGCACCACAAGCAATATACTGACGAAAAAAAAACACGGCCACACAAAGTGTGCTGGGATTGACTGCGATAGCTGCTGCGTTGGGGACGGACCCTCTCGATCGTGGAAGTCGGCGCCCTGCGTCATTGGTGGCTTTCGTGCCGTTGCGAACCTTTGCCTACTCAGTTCAGCGCGACGCGCCTGCCGTTCCTGCTCCTTGGACGCAGCGTGATGCTCGCGCCACACCTTCTAGAAAGAAAGCCGTTGCGCTCCGAGTGGTTACGTCACAATGTCGGAGAAAGAAGGCCACGGCGCAACTACGTGAGGAAATATCTGGTATCAGACGTGAAGAAAATGTTGCTTGTCGAGCCGCGCGGTGGTATTCGTCTGCGTTTATCCCACATTATTATACGTTTTAAAAGCGCAGTCTTGTTAAATTTAATATATATATATATATATATATATATATATATATATATATATATATATATATATATATATATATATATATAATGGGAATGAGTGAAGATTGACAAGTGCAGCCGTAGTAATATTGTGAACGAAGAGGGGAGAAGGTGATTATTGAATTTATTGCATTAAAGTTAGGGAAAGGGAAATATATATATTATTATAAACGTAACATACAACGTGTTACCAGGGTTGAAAGTACCAAATTTATATTTATGATTATCCTCGTAACCGCGGGACTGCGTACAGTCCCGCAGCTCCCCACACTTTTCGAATGAATTGGCCGGGTGCGACATTTTCTTCCCTCATACGGGCTCCGATTCTGGTAAATTTACGTTCTGTGAGCTGCTGACTGTCTGAAAAGGAACGCTGAAACATTTCAGAAGGGAAGGGAACCGAAAAAAAACTCCACTCATCTCCGCAGCGAGCGCACACGAGCAAGAGATGGCTCGACGACGTTAAGACTTTCGCCCGATACTACTGCCGGTGCTCTCGTGTGTGGTTCGTTTGAGACTTCTTTCCCTCTTCCCGTCGTTTTTCTGTCGTCACCGCAGTCGCAAGTGTTCTTTTTTTTTTTTTTTGTTGTTGGTGTGTTCGCCTGATACTGCGGCATTTATGTGGATTCGCGGAACAGGACGTGCTACGCTTTGAGTGACATGTGTGGCAACTAGTCAACGATGACACTGCTAGATTATCGATAAACCTCTCTCGACAGAGAGACTTCTTGGAGTTCGTGTTCAAATGTTTTCGTGGCTGGATACTGCGGGGACGTATGGATACGATGGACAGGTGAGAAACAACTTATTTACTGGCTTTCTTGGTCATGTAAAACGCAAGTAAAGGGCTGCAGGTTGTTTTCTTTTCTTTTTTTTAATCTTGTGATAGAATGGAATCTCGTTCTTTGTCGTTATCCGTGTGCAGTTGCGTTGATATTTGTAAATACGTGTGGTAATCTAGTTTTCACTGGAAGGTGAAAAACAAGTTTGTGTGATTATTGAAAGTGCGTTGTTTGCGCTTATGTGTTTATATATACTAATGTTATTTTATTGCCTTTATAGCGTTTATACTAGAATCTTAACTGTATTAAAGTAATAGTATTATTGTGTACAAAGTAAGTTATATTTTGTTATAAGGCAGCTCGAGCCCATAGGAAGAAGTAAATTAGTTGACTGTAAATAGTAAATTTAGTACCCCTGCCACACGGCAAAGTTAATATATTTTCATTAACTGATATGGGATTCAATCAGCTCGTGGTCTTCAGTGATAATACGAGCGTCGCAAGCTGATTTGTCGACCCCATAATGTCATTCGATTGAAAATTACATTAATTTTGTCATGTGGCCGGGGTATAATGTAAGAATTCAGTGACCGCACGCGATAACATCGCTTACATGATCGGAAGTGACACCACCTGTCTAGCCCTGTCCGCGTTGACTATGTCTATCTGATTTTTAACTGTGATCTGTATTGCTCTGTCCAATGACAGCGTGTCTCGCCATTTTGTCGAAGTATTTCCGTATAAAATATGGATTTCTACCGCAATAATTGGGTGACTCAATGTTTTCGAGTTAAAACAATCACATTTTTATAGACCCCTTATACACATACATCGTGACATTTCGTACCGATTATTTAGCGGTGTAATATTTGGCCCATTTAATAAAATGTTTTGTAGACCCGTTGCTATACGCAGCTTTCATTTTAGCCAATAAGACACGCGTATGTGACTAAAAGCGCGTTGCGACGGTCGATCCACGCGCGTTGCCTTCGCTTCGACGCGCGCACCCGATGGCCTTCCTTTGCGACGTCACGAGAAGAGCGCTACGGCCTTCTTTTCTAGGAGGTGTTGGCTTGCGTGGTTTGGTCATGTGTGTTGGAAAGTGAGCGAGGGGTGCCCGTGACTGCGGCTGCGGTGGAAAAAGCGAAAATATACGTACACGAGGTGTTCTGCAGTGACGCGGAGACCACACGGGAATGGAACCTGGGCGGCGGCAGTGGGGAGGCGATCGAGGGAGCGTGTCGCCGTGAGACCACATGGGTATTTTGCAACGGCGGCTGACGCAGGGCTGTGTTTGTGCGTGTGTGTGGGGGGAGGGGAGAGGCAGAGCGTCTTTGGAGGGTACGTGAAGGTAGCGGGAACGACGGGGAGATGGAGAGCGCTCTCTCCGTGGTAACGTGGTTGTTTTTTTGTTTGTTTTTTTAACAGCGCTACATTTTCTAGAAGCTAAGGTCGTAGCGCTCTCCTCGTGACGTCGCGAAGGAAGGCCGTCGCTGGCGCCCGTCGAAATTCCGAAAATAAGGCAACACGCGTGGATCGACCGTCGTAACAACGCACTTTTAGTCTCATAAGCGTATTTTATTACCTAAAATGAAAGCTGCACGCAGAAACTGGGCTAGAAAACATTTTATTGCTCGGGCAAGAATATTGCACCCCTAAATTAACGGTTTGAAAGGACACGAGGTATGTGTATAACACGTCTACAGAAAAACATGATTGTTTTAAGCAGAAAACATTCAGCCACGCAATGATTTTTGTAGGAATGCATGTTTTATACAGAATTACTTCCACAAAATGGCGAGACACGCACTGATTGAACATAGCAAAACGGATCGCAGTAAAAATCAGGTAGACGTGGTCAACACGGCCACAGCTAGACAAGTGTCACTTACAATCATGTAAGCGGTGTCAACGCATGCAGCCACAGAATCGTCGCATTATAGACCATTTCATTTAGCGCTCTCTGGGCGGCACCATTTTGTTCGCCCGCAGCGCCCTCTCCACACATCCGGGAAGTTCAGCGGGTTCGGCGGGGTAAAACGAGAGAGAGGGCTCGCGCCAGACTTCGCTAGCAGACGACAAACCGGGAGGTTGCCGTTCCCCATCTTTGGGCTGTATCGGCGGGCTCTACCGAACATCGAACTCTCGCTCGTGGCTGCCGTTGTGAAGTGGTTCGCGTTCTTAGAATAGTTGTGCCTACTCCACAATCAGCCTATAGCTCTCTGTCGCTCTATTTTGCGAAATGATCAACTAGCATATCTTTTTTCCGTTACTTAAATAGCAGTTGAGTCAGCCGGCAGTACTACCCTCAATTATTGCGTGTATTGCGGCATGAGAGCACGTTTTATTTATTATTTCAGACTTCCACTCATGGTCGCTAAAGGCCTACACCAGTACGAACTTTGTATAGTAAAAAAAATACCGCAACCGGATTTACTTTTCGCCAAAGAGATCGGCCAATCTGACACAGTTTTCTCTATTTTTTCTTTTATTTGCACGCTGGTAACAGCGCAATCGGACCCTGTGAGTCTCTTTATCTAGCATAATATTACACGACAACTGGCATACCAAAATCTGCGCATCTGCGCTTGAAAGTTCCAAAATGACGCTATTTTAAACAGAGTTTGCACGCCAGCCGGACGCTAGCTACAGCCCACTCGGCGGAGCGGACGGAACGCGGGGTGAGAGGGGGAGTGCATTTTTTTCTCTTTTACCCTCTCTGCTATGACCCTAATGGAACGGTCTATACCCTGGCCACATGGCAAAACTAATGTAATTTTCTATCGAATTACATTATGAAGTCGGCGACTTAGCTCGCGACGTTCGTATGGTCACTCAGGATCGCGAACGAATTCAATCCCATAATATTATTTAATGAAAAGATATTTACTTTTCCGTGTGCCAGGGGTACTCAACTTACTATTTCCAATAATCTAATTCACTTGTCCCTATAGGGTAGAGCTTCTGTAGAACAAGCGAGATGCAGCTTTGCTGCTCTTGACGTGTATGCCTGACGAACGACGGGAAAAGGGAAGCAGGGCCTCTGCTGTAGAGCGGGGTTCTGCGTTCATACAAGAGCATTATTTGCCGGGAGCTGAGCACTAACACCTACCGATCTAAAATATAAAGCACATTCATACGGAAGCATACTTCCACATCAATTGTTGACTGGCTTCCGTTAATTTCGAGAATTGTTACCTGAACAAAGTCCCTTTGAACGGAATTTTCCATCTTGATTCACCTTTATAATCACAGTTGCCGAAGCGCATAATCCAGACGGTCCGGCCGCCTCGGTCGTGGTTGCACATCCCGCCCGGAAAATAACGTTTCAGCACCTGCGATAACATGGATCAATGGGAGCTTTCTACATTAACATCTTTGGTCTCGCAACATTGAAATGCAAGTATGTTGCTCGAAACATATTGACTGACACACTTTAAACCGTACCTTTCCTCTGACCGAAAAAAACGAAAGAAAGAAGTGAACTAGTGTTTTTAGTCACTTTCATCTGCACATTAAACATTTTCCCACCTATATTCGCGTAAAGAAGGTTATTTTGGAAAAAACACACTTGCTACACTCTTCTTACAGCATTTTTACACGCTTTGAGTATAGGCTTAACAAGGGTGTGATGGCCATTTACACCGTCCTACACGTGTAAATATGGTGTACGTCTTCTTCAGTGCACCTTTCACGCACACCGTGCAAAAAGAGGTGTAATGGAAATGTTATCGAATACATTCATTATTTATTATTCCTCTCTATTTTTCGCGTTAGCCAAAGTTTGTCATGATCGCCTCAGATTGATGCGTATAGATTGTATTAGTGCTATCTCACATTTGATAGCCTTCCTTGGCTGTGCTCAATGTTTAGGGATCATAGCAATTAATCCCTCAGCACCCCACAAAACCTTGACAGTAGCGTCATGAAAAATACGCGAATCCAACCCCGCTCGTGAGTGCAAGGCGTCGTTCACACAGCCGCCTCCTCCCTGTGTTGGTTGTCACTGCCACGGGCGGCTCTCCCACCAGGAAAAGATCTTCCTATATTGGACAGCCTTTATTCCCGAGAACAGGTTTGTCTCCCACGGCAGCACACAGTATTGCGCCGATAAGCGTCAAATCAGAAAGATTCGGGCGGCACCATCTTAACCCAGCCGATATCTGTGAAGTCTCGGATGGGTCGCGCCGACGCCATCCATGACATGACGAAAAGGCCGCCGTTTTTCGTTGAATGCGGGAAGTGTCGTTTGTGAATCGGCTATGCTGCTCAGGTATTCGGATATCTTGCCCAACTTGAAACGGAGGTCGAAAAAAAAATAAGCAAAACGGAATCAGCTCACTCCTAGCCCGAGAAGGACAGACAAAGCAAGCAGAGGGAGCTTAGCGGAATTGTCTATCTCGCTTCAACCTCGCCTTTTGTTAAAGGGACACTGACAGAGCGTTTTTGCTCGCCGATGTTTTTATTCGTACATGACATAAGAGAGCCCAACTGCCCAAACTCATTTTCCAACTAAAAATTCGTTTGTTTGTTTTTTTGTTGTTGTTTTTTTTTTTTTTTTGTCCGAAAACCGCCAATCGAGAACTGTCTGTTTTGAGTCGCGCTCAGTCTCTTTTCCGTGGTCACGTGCCGTTTTCTATGGTTTAGACACAACCCCCAAAGATAATCAAAGTTCTGGGTAATCGAAGGCACACACCCAATGCTAAAATTAGACTGAAAATATGACTCCAATTCTTTTGCGACTTCTAAAATTGCAAACACGTCGATTGAAAGAAAAAAAAGTTGCACAGCCACGTGAGTTTTGCTAACTTTCTCCTCATCTATATTTCGTCTTTTTCCCCAGTCGAGTTTAGATTTCAATTTCAAGCAGTTGCGTTTTTTTTTAAGTATACGTGACGCTGTAGCAAAACATTGATTGGGTAGTTTCCTGACAATATAATAAATCGCCTAGCAAAAAAAAACAAAACATTTTGGGGGGGGGGGGGGGGGGGGTGTTAGTGTTCCTTCAAGCCTCTCAACCTTCTCTTTTGTTTCCGTAAGGTTGTGAGCGAGCGCGGCAACCGCTTGAAGCAAATCAGAAGGATGGAGCGAAACACGTGACCGCTCTCTGTACAACAAAACCGCTTGGACAAATATTTGTCACGTGACTCGCTCTGACGCGCTGATGGGCTCGTTGGGGCCGTAGTCTTCGCCGTGTGCCAAGTTGTGGCGATGGGTAGGGGGCCACGTAGGTCCTCAGTTTCCAATGTGCTCTTCAGTGTTCTGCCTTTCGTGCGTTGCAGTCGCGGCCCTGGTTTTTTGTCGTGGACGGCCGGAATACGTTCATGCCAACTCTCGATAATGGCTGCTTTCTTCGTCGGAATCCCTGGAAATAGTGTGCTGTGTTTGTTAACAAACACAGCACACTATTTGTGCTGTGTTTGTTAACACTTCGACACACTCGGTGTCGAAGCGCATCCAATTGGATGCGCTTCGACACCGAACTTTTCATCGACGACAGAGAGACTTTTGTTGAATGTGGGAGACCTTATTCTTTCTAGACTTTCTCGTTGCTCTGTGCTGCCCAAGTTGAATTATGCATCTTTCACGGATTACATAATATCGCTGTTTAATGGTAAGTACACGGCAAGCATGCTTCTTATAGTAGTTTGCTTCCCTCTCAATAGAGAGTTTGACTATATCGTTCCGATACCTAGATACCACCCGATATTGATACAACGTATGCGCAAAGGTGATGGCGGTGTATCGGGTGTTCTTGTCGGAGTCATAGCAATGATCTACTAAAACTTCATAATCTTCACGGTCTGCGTGTTTGATTTATAAATTTCGCTTGGCATGAACACACTGGAATTCTATTTAATAGTTTACTTTCCGTTTCACAGAGAAATACCTCTTCGGTAAACGTGTCGAGAAAAAGCTGTGTGCAATGATGGTAGGTTGATAAACTTCCCTGAGAGATTAAAAACAATTCCGTTTGTCCATGTGTGCGTGCGAAGCGCCATGTATGCCTGCGAAGCCAATACTGCCGATATTGCCGAAAGAGAACGAGCGCGTAGGTAACGTCCGGCCAATACAGAAAAGATGCATGTGCGACATCCGGCCGATACCTGGTCGCGATAGTCTGACATAGGCCAGTACCCGCACAATATTCCTCCGATACTCCGATGGCGAAACGGCAGTACGCCGATACCTGCCAGGTGTCGGGACGTGGTTACATTGCCGCGACACTGGCCAGGTATCACACTGCTGCTTGGGTGACTCGTTTGCGTAATTTGTTTGCTCAGTCATTTTTGGGGGTCCCGGGCCGCAGTGTACTCCCTAACAAAAAACAAATTGTGCTGTTGTAATTACAGCTTCACGAGAAAGTGTACTGTGGTTTTACACCTTTATTAAAATGTTGTACTGCAGTGTCCCACCTTTCAAAAAAGTTGTTAAAAAATCACACTTTTTTTTTTAAGAGTATGAGGTTTACACCCTTTTCCTAAGGTGTATCGGTACACCTATAAAAGTTAGTTCTGGGACAGGCCATTCACACCTATAAAGATGTAAAAATGTTTAGTGTGTACTACTTGCAGCATACAAAATGCATAATAATCGAGGTGCTTTTAATGTGATAGCATTATTTCGCTTCTCGTCACAAACTTCTGCCTATGTATGCCGCCTCTAATGTAATCAATTTTGCGCTAACTTTATCGAAAAATTGACTTCACGTGATCTATGCATCAATTCAGGTTCGCCGCTAAACTTAGCAGGAAATTGAACAATTTAGTTTTTTCTGCCAAATTTAGCGGAAAATTTACTTCACGTGACCTATTCACCAATTCAGGTTCAACACTAAATTTTGCCGGAAACCGGACATCTGCACATGTGTACAACGATGAATGCTATCGCATTCATAGATAATCACCTCTCTGTGGTTTCTACAAAGCTGCCTCCACCATCAATTTTTAGAAAGGAAGAGAGAGAGACAAAGGGAAAAAGATCGAACATGACTAGTCGAGACCCAGACTTTTGAACCAATTTAATATAAACACAAATGAATGAAAGCCGTTTACAAGTCTCTGTAATGCGAAATTAGAGCGCAGCTCTTGCGCACGAAGAGGGGCGAGTATATCTCTTCTCCTCTTCCGTACCCTTTCCTCCTCCTCCTCTCCCCTCATCCTCCTCATCCCCGTCCTCCTCTCCCCACCCATTTACCTCCTCCGTACCCTCCCCTCCTCCTCCTCCATGCCATCCCCTCCTCCCACAGATTCTCGGTAAATTTAGCTAGAAAATTCACGCCACGTGGCCTAAACACCAATTCAGTTTCCCCGCTAAATTTAGTGGGGAACAGAGACGTCACGTGACTTCGGCTCACGTCACCCATAAGCAAATTCAGTTTCTCCGCTAGATTTAGCGGGAAATTCGACATCACGTGACCTAAACACCAATTCAATTCCCCACTAAATTTAGCGGGGCGGTTACGCCGACGACGACGGCGACGCCGCTAAACACGGAAACGGGCGCCTAAGAGCTGCAGTCTAAAAGACGGCACCAGCAAGTGGGCATGTGAAATTTCTGTAAAACATGTTCTGTATGGACGTGCTATATGGCCACTGACAGCAGACAGTGGCAGGAAATTTGGGTTGTTCCACCCCCAAGGCGAACTTCCCACCTTCAACGAAACATTGTCGTCTCGTGATCTTTTAGAGTGACTGTGCGGTCAAAGTACAATGGAAGTCAATGAGAGCGTTCTGTGGGTCCGTCACCCGAAGGAGACGCCATACAGCTCACTTTCTGTAGCGAGTATAGTCAGTCTCACCGGTTGTGATGTGACACAAATCCCTCATCATTATAACTGCGAAAACAGACTTAGACACCCCGAACGCTTTGCAGGGAATAAGCTCACACAAACTTACTACTGGGTGACTCTACGTCAGTTCATGCAATGATAGTCCGGGTCATAGTTTAGATATTTTTGTTAGAAATATATATGAAAGCCATGTTCTTGGGAGGAACATTCAGCTATATATGAACGCCGTAACATTTTTTTTTTCCGCTGAGGTATAAAATAGAGAAGCTCAAGGCATGGAAATTGAGAAGATTTCACAATGCTACTTTGCATAGTTGTCATTTCCTCAGCGAAGCTTTCACGTCACCATAACTTTCTAATGCGTTTTACAAAGGATATACAACACATACACAAAACATTAAAAATATCAATGAAATATTTATATGCAAACAAATAATCAAAAATGGCAGTGGCTGAAAAGATCCATATTGCCGAACTCTCCGGCAATATGGATCTTTTCAGCCACTAGGCACGGAAAAAGCGCTTGCGATGGAGTATGTGGTATTCTTAAACACCGCGCAATGCTCACTAACTTGAGATCTTCGCTCAACTCAGCGATTGTCACCGCTAAAGATTTTGTGGAAGCGCTACGTGAAAAAGTAACAAATGTATTCATGTTCCACCTGTCTGCGGAACGGGTTCGAGAGTTTCGTGCGCTGAAGCAAGCAGAATGGACCACCGTGAAACCTGTGAGAGGAATCCAGGCATCTTATTTGTGGAAGTCATCATATGCCCAGAGGCCGGATGTATACATGGCCACTCGCGCAACTGAGAGTTTTAAGCTCATGTATGAATAGTTAGCGAATTTGCTGAGTGGGGCCGTTTTGTTCCTGTGAATTGTAAGCTAATTAGTGGTACTCTAGCACAATGTTCCTTTTCGCGTCACTAATACTCACCCCTTATTAAAAAAAGAATTTTAATATTATAAAATACATGCCATAACTAACGCTCAAAGTGTTTGGTGCTGTGCGGCAAAGCCGCTATGACGAAGACGTCGGCTCGCTCCGAGTGAAGGTTTGTCGTAGCTTTTCTCGTTCGGAGGTCATATTTTATTCAATATCTTGCAACCACAGGTAAGTTGAAGTCACTGCAAAGAGGCAAGGGGAGTTTAAAAAAAACTAAAAGATTAAGTTTTTTTTTTTTATATCGACGCCTAATCTTGCCACAATTTGAGAAATCAGCCGCATTTCCGCGTTAATAACAAAAAGGTAATTAAGGGGGGTATGAATTATCTTTGTATATTCGTAAAGAATATTTAAAGACGCGCATATTGATATTCTTTGCTAAGTAATTTGAAAGATGGTTTATTTGAAAAAATTGTGAATATATCTCTAAAACGCGTTTTTATGCCATGTTTGATTTTTTGTTTGCATAAAAATATTTTATGGATATTTTGTAGTACGTGTAAAATATATTTTTTAAAACGGATTACAAAGGTTATGGTAACGTGAAAATTTCCATGAGGAAATGACGACTGTGCAAAGTAGCATTGTGAAAACTTCTCAATTTTCACGCCTCGAGCTTCTCTATTTTATATCTCAGCGAAGAAAATTGTTACGGCGTTTATATATAACTGAATGTTCCCCCAAAAAACATGGCGTTCATATATATATTTTTAACAAAAAATATCTAAATTATGACTTGGACCATCATTGCATGAATTGTCGTGAATGGTCGTGGAATTGTCGTGGAAAACTGCCGTTTTCCACGAGAGGCGATACATGCATCAAAACATAGCGTATCAAGCGAACTATGCTGGCACACTTAATCATAAGGTGAAATACCAGAACGTTGCTCCGGGGTGTAAAGTGCGCCTCAATATGGAAGACCCACTCGGAGCGCTCGGCAACGCGCTCCGAGTGGGTCTTTCATATTGCGGCGCACTGTACGTCTTACGCCGATCAGAGCATCGAACAGACCGACCAAAGTACTAAATAATTTATATAAAACGCAAACGAGGGTCGTTCCGATAAAGCTATCTCTTTGTAACACTGGGTTTATCCTTTGTTGCTACCTTAAATGATAACTTTGCTGACCATGTTTAACATTAGACATTTATCTAGATTTACGGAAATCTCATGAACATCATCTTGACTGAAAATCAAAATGGCCATGTGGCGGTATCACCTAGTTACAGCAGCCAATATTAAGCCCGGTCGTCTTCAAAATAATATGACATTCAAACTTCCAGGTTCTGTCTTCACTTTTATTTTTTAATTGCAGAAGAGCTAAGCCGTAAGACCTAACCGCTCGGTAACTTTTACCTTCTACATGTTTTCAACCTGCTGGGTTAATGTTCCAATTATACCAGCATCGACATTGAGTCGGAAGGTAGAATATCAAGGGAGCAGTACTCTAAAAGAGGTGATAATATAAAACAAAACAAAAAAATTTTGAAGAAAGGATGCCGTTATTCAGCTGTTATCAAGGCGACTAGTTGTCTCGCCAGTACTGTTGGAGTCCACTCAAAGCGAGAAATTAACATTAGACGCTTTAAATTTCATTAATTCAAGCTCTAAATTATAATGTGGGCGCATCAATCAAAGCTATGGTCAATTACTTCTCTATGTTTAAAAATAATGAAGCAAGTCAACTCGTTTTGTTTACTTCAATACTAGATTTGAAATGATGACGGTGTTCTTTCTTTGACAGCAAATATCTCCAAATGCAAGATCTATTTATTGTCTCTCACAGTTGACGAGACAAATCAGGTTGTTTTCTTACTTCAGTTTTGTCTACATACATATTGTCTACATGTGATAAACACACCATTGAATATAAAAAGAGGGTGAACTCTGAGTTTCTGAAAACATTTCTTTACTCATTAGTTTTTACGCATTCTCACTACACAAAAGCTGTCGAAATCAAACTGTAGATGTCACCTCTGGCCACTGGTACGTCTCCAGGATGGAGTCCATGTTGTTCCGACGTCGCCATTCTTGATTCTGTAAGAAAGCGGTCAAAAGCATTGTTCGTGACAATACCTGAATGCGCATGGAGCAAAAGCTCGCGCTGCGGAACCCAGGGGTCTCAGGTTCGACCCCTGTCCACGCCCATGTCGATCTTGATGAGCATCGTACCGGCGTGCGCTGATGCAATCACCATTTCGTAATATCCGTCAAAGACTTGAAAGTCTTCGTGTTAAGACTCGTTCTGCTCTCGCCAAATTTCTGACCTACAGCTCAGATAGAAGCTGCCACATATTGACCGCTGACTAAATGCAAGCTGACTAAACATCCACACACTCCAATTTTTAAAACAAAATGAAAAGACAATGTTCACGCGCGATGATTTTGGAATCTAAGAAACTTGATCTTGGAATATTTATTATATTTATTTTATTTATTTATTTATTTGTAAATATTGTGCGCCCTTCTGGGCGCTTTACAGGAGTGGAACGTCAGTTTTATATCATGCAATGATTTGCAAAACCGCAATGGGTACACATCAGGCTAAGAAAAGAACACTTTTTTTACACATTTATAAACATAAGAAAACTTCTGTGAAGAACGCCCAAGCATACCACGATATCCACTGCCATAAACAGGAAATCCAACTATCTAAGATATCGGTACTCAATAGATTTCCTGTTTCCGGGTCCGCGTAAGGAATTGTTCTATGTTCTCTTTTAATATTTCAACCACTTTTTTTTTTTTAAGCGGAGCTGTTAAGGGCTAGCTTCCCCAGTTTCGTGTTCGTAAACAAATAACTCTCGACACAACCCTCTGGACAGCTACCGCCGTCGCTTATAGATAGCGGCACACAGTACAGCTCCGCTGCTCTTCCTTCTTTCCCAAAGTCGAAAGGCTGAAAGTTTCTAATTCTGGGTTAGGACATTTTTACGCCATACATCGCAACGTGCTAGAGAAGCTACAGCCCTTGTCTGTATTTCCTTCATTTTCCAGGCATGCTTTGCAAGGGGTTTCCAATCTCATTCCACTCCAGAAGAGGTAGCCTGCCAAGGGTGTTTTCTGCTAAGTACGGGTAATAACAAGCAGCATTGTGACCAAATTGCGCTAAGTATTCAACAACTAGATTATTTGTTTATTTATTTTCTTTTGTAATCGCCCATTTTACATTTTCACAAATCAGAGAGTTATGGCTTCGGCATTCTTAAGGGGATGTCACATTCGGACTCAGCATTTCGCCACATCAAGCGGGGATGTGAATTTTGCGCGCGGATTCATATGGCCCACAGTTACCGCTCATTCACACTAGAAGCGGATACGCGTTCGCAAAGCGGTTGTAAACGCGGTTGTATAAAGATCTAGTGCAATTGCACGCGCACCCGATGACATCAAGTGCGCGTGCTGGATCTTTATACAACCGCATCCACAACCGCTTTGCGAACACGGATCCGCTTCCAGTGTGAATGAACGGGACAGCCGACACTTTTCGAGCATACTGATATTGTGTTTTAAATGATTGTGACTCTTTCATCATTTCTATCATTTATGCTTACCTCACGTAGCATGTGCTCCGCCTTGTTGACGTCGAACTCCCGTGCTGTGGAGTCAGAGAAGTACGCAGACACAGTCAGATGTTGTTTAAAAAAATGAAGCCGTTTACAACTCCCTGTAACGCCGAATTAGAGCGCAGCTCTTGAGGGGGAGGAGGGAAGGGTACTGAGGGTCACGTGTTCTCGGGGGGAGGGGTCACGCGACCTCGGGGGTAGTCATGTGATACTGGGGGGTCACGTGACCTCGGGTGAGGTCACGTGACTTCAGGGGTCACGTGACCTGGGAAAGGGGTCACGTGACCTGGGGGGAGGGGTCACGTTACCTCGGGGGGTCATTGACCCCTTCTCCCCGAGGTCACCTAGGGAACCCGAGGTCCTCCCGAGGTCCACCCGAAGGAACCCGAGGTCCTCCCGAGGTCCTCCCGAAGGAACCCGAGGTCCTCCCGAGGTCCTCCCGAAGGAACCCGAGGTCCTCCCGAGGTCCTCCCGAAGAAACCCGAGGCCCTCCGAGGTTCTCCTGAAGGAACCCGAGGTCCTCCGAGGTGCTCCCGAAGGAACGCGAGGTCCTCCCGAAGGAACCCGAGGCACTTCCGAGGTCCTCCCGAAGGAACCCGAGGTACTTCGGGAGGACCTCGGGTTCCTTTGGGAAAATTTACCCATAATGCACCGCGCGGTTATGCCGACGGCGACGGCGACGGCGACGGCGACGCCGACGCCACTCAAGCCGGAAGCGGGCGCATAAGAGCTGCGCTCTAAAAATGAAAGACGTTTACACTTCTCTGTAATGCCGAATTAGAGCGCAGCTCTTGAGGAGGAGGAGGAAAGGGGAGGGTATAACCGTGCGACATCACGAGGGTGACGTCCCTCGTGGCCGTCGTGACGTCACGTGGGACGCCATTATGGGGAACGTCCCATAATGCAAAGCGTAGTTACGCCGACGGCAACGGTGACGCCGCTCTACCAGGAAACGGGCGCCTATGAGCTGCGCTCTAAAACTTCGGTACACAACAGACGCTACTCTAAAAACTCAGTCAAATTAATCCGAGATGTTTATTGATATAAAATTAGTATATTTTATACCAATTAACGTCTCAGATTAATTTGACTGAGTTCTTAGAGTAGCGTCCATTGTGTACCTAAGTTCACTTAAGACTGCTTATGAATACGAAGGCGAAATTATTATAGTCCCGCGGGAGAAATGTTTTCGAGTAATATTTCTACCCGTACTGAAGTTTTGGACGATCTATAGAACGACGTCGAGGACGACGTTCTAGAGATCCAAGCCAAGTACGTCGTCTAGAACAACCTCTAGGACGACCTCTAGGACGACGTCGAGGACGACGTTCTAGAGATCCAAGCCAAGTACGTCGTCTAGAACAACCTCTAGGACGACCTCTAGGACGACGTCGAGGACGACGTTCTAGAGATCCAAGCCAAGTACGTTGTCTAGCACGACCTCTAGGACGACCTTTAGGACGACGTCGAGGACGACGTTCTAGAGATCCAAGCCAAGTACGTCGTCTAGAACGACCTCTAGGACGACCTTTAGGACGACGTCGAGGACGACGTCTAGGACGACTTCTAGGACAACCTCTAGGGAAATACGTTTATGATGACGTCGAGAACGACGCCTACAGGACGACGTCGAGAACGACGCCTAGAGGAGGACACTTAAGGTGGCCGTGGCGTATTTGAATGGGCGGCCACGTTTGCCTGCGCAAGCCGCCGTAGATGTAGACGCTGCTGCCAAAATGTTGAGGCCGTAGATGTAGACGTGTTCGCCTGACAGTCCATCGCACGAAGCACACAACGAGCACAAATAAAGTCCGAAGCGCAGCTTTTGCACACGGGGCTCCGGCGGTGACATCACGCTGATGGCGTATGATGACGCTTGGCTGTTGACGATTGATGACGTATTTTTATGGCCATCTTTCAGGCACAACGACGCCGCTTGTTTTTCACGTAATGTGGCAAGTAAGGTCAACATAGAGGTCTAGGACGACTTCTAGAACGACCTCAAGGACGATTGAGCATACGATTGAGCGGCGCGTGCCGCTCAATTGTATTTTTATGGCCATTTACTCCGATGTTTTGCTCAATATGACAAAGCTTTCGTTTTAAAAAAAATGTTTTCTGAGGGTCAGGAAGGGTGGACACACAATAAAACATTTCCAGATGTAGGTCACCTTAAATTTAAATGATGGTGCTTTGCTTGTTTTTCGCCCAGAGATTTTTTTTTTATCAATTGCCTTACAAATTTATTTAAAGCGTTTTTTTTTTTTTAAATAGTGTAACCCGTCGTTTTCACTCTATACTCCTTTTCACATCAAGAACCGTAGTAAAAGGAAAAAATCAGGCTCCTCGTGTAGCATTACTAATTTTCCCCTTTATGGAGATAATTAAGATATATGTAGGTGCATTTTAGATTAGATATATGCTACCTTATCAAGACGTACACGCTTTAAAAACCAGAAGCATCGCTTCTTCCTCCAACAACTAAATCCTGTAAGAACTGCTTTGCGCGGCGAATGAACAATATGCAAAACTTCCTTTTTTCTTGAGGTGGAAACGCATATAGGTTCTCACGGTGTGAGCTGGTGGAAGTACTAATGTACATAGATATTAAACTGAGATCCTTGCTTATCCCTTTGAGCGAAAAAGGGAAGTCTACGGCCATAAAAATACGATTGGCACGCACCGCTCAATCGTATGCTCAAGGACGACGCTGTCCTTGGCATCGTCCTTGAGGCCGTCCTAGAGGACGTTCTAGACCTCTAGGACGACCTTACTTGTCCTATTATGCGAAAAAACGGCGTCGCTGTGCCCGAAAGATGGCCATAAAAATACGTCATCAAGCACGCGCCGCTCACGCGCACGCTCGAGTGCGAGAGCGTGATGCCACTGCCGGAGCGCCGTGTGCAAAATGTGCGCTTCAGACTTCATATGTGCTCGTTTTGTGCTTCTTGCGATGTACTGTGAGCCAACCGGCACTACATCTACGGCCTCAACATAGGCAGCGTTGTCTACATCTACAGCGGCTTCCACAGGCAAACGTGGCCGCCCACTCAAATACGCCACAGCCTCCTTAGTGTCCTCCTCTAGGCATCGCTCTAGACGTCGCCCTAGATGTCGTCCATAGGATCGTTCTGAAGGTCGTCCTAGACGTCGTTTTTGACGTCCCCTAGGACGTCATCCTCGACGTCGTCCTAGACGCCGTTTCTGACGTCGTTCTCGACGTCGCCCTAGACATCGCCCTTGAGGTCGTCCAAGAGATCGCCCTCAGTATCGTCCTACATGCCGTCCTTAGCGTCGTCCTAGATGCCGTGCTTGGCGTCGATTTCTAGGACCTCGTCTTCTACGTCGTCCTAAACTTTAATACGTGTAGAAACCAGAGATGAACAGTATCGAGATACAAATGTATCGCGATAGTATCTTAGAGATACTTTCGAGTATCTGGAGCTCTGTATTGAGAAATATTTTAAAAATGTATTTGTATCTCGGTAGTGAAATACCTTCACAATGTAACGCTTGGATCGCGATACTTTGCCAGACTTATGTATCTCGTTACATTTGTTGCCGTTTTCTACTATAAATTTAAAAGATAAACATATGTTTGGTGCAGGGTGCTTCAGAATTTATAATATGAACCGGCCCTACAACATGATCTATCAAAGTCATTAACATTTAAAAAAAGTTGGTTTAAAGAAGGTTACTTGCAAGAACTACAGAATAAGCTCCTCTCACAGAACCCTCCACTTTTTTTTCAATTTAGTGGAGCGAACGCTGTAAAGGTGTTAGTGTAGAAAAGGTACGGCTCTGTTGTCTAATCTTCCCACATAATGGGTGACTCAGAAGCACATAAGACGATAGTTTGAAATGCGCCCTCACGACAAAAAGGGGTTCATTTCGAGCAGATGGCTTCTGTCAAGCGAGGCACGCAGTCTTTACCGTTCAGTAACTATGTGGTTCACCAAGGGTACCATGTTTTTTGTTTCTTTTTTTTTTTTTTTTTAGCGGCATTACTGAAGTTGATATACAAAGTGCTTGAGGCAATGCGAACTGCATAAAATGACACAAAAAGAGGAGCAAAACCATACAGTACCATTTTCATTCGCCACGAACTACACCCTCCGCACGTAGCACCTCTCGGAAACAAATGTATTTCTATAAGTACCTGCGTTTGTAGTACGGAATACTTTTTCGTCATTTTTGCAGAAGTATCTCTGGGATATCCCGTTGCATCAAAGACGAATGTATGAATGCAGAAAACACGACTACAGATACTGAGCAGTATCTGTATTTTGGGCCTTAAAACAAGTGTATCTTAGTATATGTATTTCCGAATACTTTTTGAAGTATCTCTGCCCAGTCCTGGTAGAAACATTTCTCCCGCGGGACTGTAATGCTTTCGCCTTCATGCACGTCAGTAGTCTTGAGTGTACTCCTGTAATCTTTTTACACCTAGGCCTCTAAATTCGTCAAACACAAAGTTGGGGCCGAAGTTCACGGAGCGCACCGATTGGCCAATCATGGCGATGACTTCGCGCTTTTCTCGACAACGTCCAATCGGCGCGCTCAGCGAACTTTCGGCTCCAACTTTGTGTTTGACGAGTTTAGAGCCCCTACCATATATTCGCTGATATAATATTAGAAAAACTGAGCAGCACATCGTATCTCCCGCCCACGGCTGCCAACCCGAGGGAAATTTCCTAAATTAAGGTATTGTTCAGGTCTATGTGGGAATAAAGGATTGCTAATTTGAGAAAAATTTTGGGCACCGTACATATTTAAAATATTATGGGTATTTTTCTTTTTTTTTTTTAGATACCATCAAATTTTAGTGGTTTTGGCTACATTTGGGTTATTTCCTCGAGCCGTATGGCGGTTTGTGGTGCAACTTTCCGGCAGCACTGAGGAGTACTAGGCCAGGTGGCGCAAGATAACGCCCGTTATAAAGGGTACAGCCGTTAGCATCCGTCCATCCATCCAACTATTTTCGGCAAGGAGGTTATAATGGGCAGGAGGTGGCGTCCCTATCCCCAATGCA